TATATATATATATATATTAGGGGGGGTGTTAATGTGTGTGTCTGTGTTTGTGTATGTATGTATGCATGTATGTATGTATGTATGTATGCATGCATATATGTATGTATGCATGTATGTGTCTATGTATGTATGCATGCATATATGTATGTATGCATGTATATCTGTGTATGTCTGTGTATGTAAATGGACATATTTATATGCATATGTATATGTAGCATATAAAGCATGTAGGTTTCGTACAGACATGTAGACAGTTGTTTCCCGGGTTGCTTATGCTCATGCAGATGGCATTAACTAAATTATCGCCATCTTAAGCATTACGCCTATGTCTAGAGTTCTGTACTGTCACGGTTTTATTTGTTCTGATTCGTATAATGTTGTGCCAATTTCTGCAAGCTTGCATGAGCGCAGTCACCACAGAATGCAACAAACAGGTTTTTAATATTATATATAAAATTGGATTCGTTCCCTATTTGGAAATTATTTTGAGTTTAATCCCCTATCGCGCAAAAAAGACCCGGAGATGGTCATCAAGTGCAGAATCAAAAACTGACCCAAAAAGACCCCAATCGCCCTGTTACCGCAATTTTAGATGGTCATGCATATCAGTCAATTATGTAGTTTCTATTATTCGTGTATATCTTTCGTCGCTTTTTCCACACATATTTATCGTTGGAACTCTTTTTCCCTTAGCATTCATATTGTTAACATGTCAACTTTTGCTTTTTAAGCACCAGTTTTACATCATGTTTGCAAGGATGCGTCAGTACCAATCCTCCTCTTCTGAACCCCATTCTATTTATATCTCACCCTCTGCTTCCGTGAAACAGTGACCTACAAGCAGCGCTGTTGGGTGCGCTGAGTGGGCGTGTGTGGGACGGCAAAGAGCAGATCCTATTGGCTCTGGGCTGTCTGTGTAAGAGTCGGAAGGATCTGATCACCTCGGAGGTTTACGACAACATTATCTCTCTGTTGCTGAAAGAGGCCGGGCGCAAGACGATCAAGTACAAGATCAACGCTATCGAAGCGCTGGCGGTATGTAGGTATCAGTGAGTTAATGGAGATGGTCTCCATCGTCATTCGCGTCTTGTACGGCGAGATGCGCCGGTAGTGTGTCGTTGCATTGTGTGCGCTTTGTCGTGCGTGTGTGTGTCAGATTTGGAAGGCGGAAGGTCTTTCTGGGGATTGACGGTAGTATCAATCAAGGAAGCTGGACGGTATACCTTTTAGGAGATGGTAAGCAGTTCTTTCGGTATGTTGTAACTGATCAACAAACCCCAAACCCTAAACCCTTAACCCTAAACCTGTAACCCGTAACCCGTAACCCTAAACTCCTAAATCGATATTATACGAGCACTTGCCGTATGTAGCTAGGGTTGAGTAAATTTGGGATCTTCTCGATTCGTTGCTTGTATTGCCCTTTGGGCTGATACGGTGGCATGTGTAGTGTGTGTGTTGTATTGTTTGTGTCACAGTTGAAATAAGTTGAGTTACTGACTGTAGAGATTAATGGTTGTTGGTTGGTAATCACTACACGAGGGAGGCCACACCGAAGATTCTAAAAGAGGTGCAGGATCAAAAATACACATAATACTAAGAGAATCATCATACCACCACTATATCACCATTTCATGATCACGCACATACACTGTATCTGCACCCATTCTCCAGCGACAGCGTTACGTTAGTATTGGGAGACAACATGTCTGTCTTAGCTGACTTGGTTTGGGTGGATACACCTCTTGCTGTGGTTCACCTTTCCGGTCGATCCACCTCCATACCAACACACATACACGTGCCTGGGCGATATACACACTGGCGTAGGGGTAGAGCCATCCATGACCAGGACTACAGCATGAGCTATAAGCTGCAGAATCTTCAATGTTCCGAGTACTCGCTGCAAGTTCTCGAGGAATATATACATACTATCAATCGGCGATAATATCATAATATATGTGGCATATAGGGTGTTGTGTAGGCAATAGCAGCAACGAACGTTACTATATCGACAACGGTAGAAAACCAAGCTCAAAGTACACTGTATAGGTCTGATTTATGTACAAGACGTTCTAAACTACAAAGTGCTCTCCAACAACAAAACAAACGTTACTACTCATATGACAACAGTAGAAAAACTAGTTCAAGGTACACTTTATTAGTCTAATTTACGTTCAGGATGTTCTAAACTACAACTCAACAACAAAACAAACGTTACCACTCTTACGATAACGGTAGAAAAATAAGCTTAAAGTACACGTTATCGGCCTAGTTTACGTACAGGACGTTCTAAACTACAAAGCACACTCTCAAACAACAATATATCAATGTATCTCGCATACAAGATGTTTTCAACGCAGATGCCCAAGTACGACCTCTGCTGTTTACTCAACCGCGCCAAGAACGCAAATGGCACTATTCTATGCTATCAAATGCCAAGTGATTCCGTGGTCTTTCATGAAGCCTTGCAGTTGACACTGTCTTGTTCTGTATCACTTACAGGATGTCCTTAAGGCAGATGCAAAGTGTAATAGGTATGCTGATTTATGTGAGACGCTCATCAATCTGTCACTTTACACTGACGAGGCGCAAATAGATGCGAACACAACAGACAGTGTCACGCACAGCGAAGTGGAGAAGGAGAAACGCCAGAGCTCAAAAGAGACCACAAAGGTAAGCGATCAATAATCACTGATCATGTATATATATATATATATATACATGTATATATATACGTATGTATATATGTATG